TAAAAGCTTGCAAGCAGCCATCTAGATGCAACGATGGGTCTCTCCTCATCCAGAGCAAAGAAGAATGAAGAAAACCAAAGATTCATGGAAAGAATTCGTCCTGGCGACTGGTACACCATGTGATCCACAGCCTATATGACTATGAGACCAGAAGAACTAGATGGTACCCAGCTACCACTGTCAACCACACGGAGGGGGATCTATGTAGGAGATCCTGGATAGAGAGGGAGAACAATGTGGAACAATACTTAAAATCATTTGGAAAAAAAAGGGAGGGGGGCAGTTTTGCTGGTCTGATAGAGCCTGGTGGAACCACTGAGACTATGGCCCCTAGCTGCCCTTCAAGTCTGGAATAGAACCTACACCTGTGACTTCCAGCCAAACAAAAGACAGGCATAGGAGTTGAACAGTTACCTGAGGTAGATAAACTCCTTGGAGAGAACAATCATGGGAGAAAGAAGGGCTTCTTATGCACAGGGAGACAGCTCAGGGGATAGGGGTGCATGGAGGGCTGGACACAGGGAAGAGGTGACTATCGGGAGGAAGTGAGAGGGGAGCTGTTGCATTGTGGTGAATTGTGGTCAGTGTCATGAAACAAAGTGTATGTGAACTGCTGTATGGAACGTGAATTTGCTCTGTAAATTTTCACCCAAATCATAATTAAAAAAGAAAATCAAAACAATATGAAAAAGTATACAGTTAAATGTCTTGCTTCTAGCTCTGCCCCCCTGTACCCTAAACCCTACTGCCCACCTCATGGGGAAATATTTTTATTAATTTCTTGTGTATGCTTTCAGTTCCTTTGTGCAAATACAAAGCATCATTTCTCCCCTCTCTTAGATAAAAACGTGTGCTCTCTGTCCTGCATTTTGCTTTTTACACTGAACCATATATTTTGATCACGTCTTCAGATCAGTACGGAGCCCTTTGTCCCTTATTTAAGCTGCACAGTGAAAAGGTTCACACCCTGGACCTAGCAGATGGATGGTCCAGTCCGTGCAGATGGACCCCTGGGGTGTTAGAGTCTTTGGTGAATGTAAACAGGGTTGCCAGGAATACCTTGTACCTGCTAGCTCATTTTTTTTTTTTTTTCCTCATTTCCTTTTTGATCCTTCATGCTCTGATTCTTCAGGACAATGTGGACTTCTAACACATCACCTGTGTTGACCTCTGGTCTTTGGCCAAGCCCTTAGACCCTGCTGTAGTCTCTTCCTCCTTAACTCCAAATTCAGCCTTTACCTCAGTCTTTATCTAACAGGAAGTGTTTACCCACCACCCCACTGGTCACTTTCTGTTTACTCAGCATTTTTTTGTTTTTCTTTTAAAAGCAAAATAAGACCAACAATTGCAAATAATTTTGATGATTACAAATAATATCAGCAATAATAATAGCACATGTTGAATGTGCCAGACACTCTTTTAGATGCCTTGACGTTAATGGCCATCATGTCGATTTCAACTCACGGTGACCCCATGTGTGTCAGCAGGGTTGTGCTCCGTAAGGTTTCCAAGGTTGTCGCTTTTTGGAAGCAGGTCACTAGGCCTTTCTCCCAGGCCTTCTCTGGATGGACCCAACCCTGTCATTCTTTGGTCAGCAGCTGAGCATGTTAACCATTTGCACCCAGGACCCTTCTAGATGTCTTATATCTTAACCAGTCACTCAGTCCTCTTAATCTGATGAGTAAGGAATTGTCATTTTACAAGAGTCTCTAGGTGGTGGAAACAGTCCCTGTGCTTGGCTGCTAACCAAAAGGTTCAAGGTTCAAGTCCACCCAGAGGTGGCTTAGAAGACAGGCCGAGAGACCTACTTCTGAAAAATTGGCCACAATAAACCTTGTGGAGCACAGTCCTACTCTGACACACACAGGCTCACCTGGTGTTGGAATTAACTCAACTGCAACTGCTTTTTTTTTTAATATTACAATTGAGAACACTCAGTCTCAGAGAGGTTAAGTGACTGACACAAGATCACACAGTTGCTGAGTTGCAGTTGAGTTTAGCCCAAAGCTACCTGACCCCACGGTGGTCTCACCTGCTAGAACCCAGAGTGACAGGGCTTGTAGAAATCTGGGCTAGTCTAGAGGCTTGGCTAGGGCTCCCTCGTTAGAGCCCTCCTAATCCTTTGTGTTGCTCTCTAGCTTCCGGGAGGATTTCCATTACAATGACACTGCTGGCTACTTCATCATTGGAGGGAGTAGGTATGTGGCTGGCATCGAAGGGTTTTTTGGACCGCTGAAGTACTACCGCCTCCGCACTCTGGACCCTGCCCAGGTGAGCCCAGGACTCCAAGGAGACATTTTGCAGACATTCGTGGGTGATGAGTATGCCAAGCCGAGCCACGTAACACCGAGTAAAGAAAACACTTACTCCAGCTAGAGCGCACATGGACTGTCATCAAACATAATTAATATTGAGGCTTTTTCCCAGCAAATGCGATAATAGATTTCTGTTAACGCTGGGTTCATTTAGTACTCATAAAATGGAACCCATTTACTTCCTCTGTTTTAATAACTACTAGCTTAATTATAGAGTAGATTTTTATCAGGCTGTTGCCTATCCAGTGATTAAGCTAATGAAAGGAGGGAGTCGTAGTTATTTGGTAAAGCTTCTTTTATGTGCTTTTATTTAAAGTATCTGAAGAGGCGCTGCTCCAGCAAATTAAAGCCTCAGTTCTGCACACTGCTCTTGTCAGAAATGCAGGCGTGTGGCTCACCCTGGGGTGTACCGGCTGTGAGCATAGCGATCCCTGGGGGCTTTGGTGCACTGTCACAGTGCACGAAACAAAACAAAACAAACTCGATGCCGTTGAGACAATTCCAACTCATAATGAATCCTGTTGGGTTTCTGAGGCCGTAAATCTTTACGGAAGTAGATTGCCCTGTCTTCCTTCCACAGAGCAGCTGCGTGGGTTTGAACCACTAACCTTCTGGTTAATAGTCAAATGCTGTTTGTACTTGGGTACAAACCTAAGATACTGTGCCACCAGAGCTCCTTGTCACAGTACACAGTGGTTCTCAAATCCAAAACCCACCCAGGAATGGAATTTCCACCTCTCCAGGCCACTTGAAGCTAGGCTGATGGGGCAGCGGGTGGGTTCCCCAGGATGGAGCCCTTAACAGTGGTTGTTTTCTTTGCCTTGGAAAGGAGTCAGGACCCCACCCAATACCTAAGAGAGGAACATTCTTTCATTTCCTTTGACCCTGTAGGGTTTGCCCTGGGTGAAATAGGAGTGACTAAGCACACAACAACAACAACAACAAGCAAATGTCATAATTAGGAAAAATGGGGACACCCTGCTCCCCACAAATGACATCTTAGAGCTCCTATTGAGAATCCTCTATGAAAAGGAAAAACAATGAAATTCATTTATTCTTTTGTGCAACAAATAATTATTGAGCACTTGCTGTGTACCAGGGTCTGTTCTAGGTGTTGAGGTGACAATGAAAAATAAGATGGTGGCTTTTATACCTTTTCCTGAAGGTGGTCCACAGTAAGAGATTTAATTCCTATCATGGCCAGTGCATACAAATGGATCTCTATACATTGAGCAATGACATGTATATACTATATGTAACACAAAACAGAAACAAAATTTCTACTAAGAATGCATAACCAAAAATACCAAACTCACTGCCATAAAGTCGATTAGACTCGTAGCGACCCCTCCTTGGGTTTCTGAGGTGGTATCTCTATGGAGGTAGAGTCCTTCCGAGGAATGGTTGGTGGGTTTGAACTGCCAATCTTCTGGTTAGCAGTCAAATGCCATAGGCACTACGCCACCAGAGCTCATGCGTAGCTTTGCTTTATTCAATACAATGTTTTATTTTGTGTTCTACTTTATGTATCTGTGTGTGTGTGTGTGTTTAAGGAGCTCTGGCAGTATAGTGGTTAAAGCATTATGTTGCTAACCAAAAGGTCAGAGGTTTGAATCTACCAGCTGCTCCATGGGATAGAGATGAGGCAGTTTGCTTCCAACAAGATTTATAACCCTGTGGGGCAGTTCTGCTCTATCCTATAGGGTCAATATGAGGCAGAATCAACCTGGTGGCAGGAGGGATTGTGGTTTATATATGTGCGCATACACACACACACACACACACACAGGCGGTTGGTTACAGTCCACTGAAATAATTTCATGGCCCTCTAAAGGGTCACAGCCTGCATGTGGGCAGCCACTGGTGTTCTTGAGAACCTCCCTTTCTGCCTCTTAAGTAAATAAGTCCCAGAAGACTGCAGTGCATGCTTTGATTCAGATCTGAGCAGAGCATTTGGGAGCACAGGGCAGGAATGCCGGCATTTGCCAAAAATTGAATGTGGGGTTGGGGGGACTGTTTGGGACACCTGCCCCCATGCAGTGGCCTTGAATCTGGCTCTGTGAGGTTGAGTAGGAATCTGGCATGCAGAAGGAAATGGGAGGAGGCTTCCTAGGCAGCAGGCCCACCCAGGTAGACTTGGCATCAGTCGGTACAAGATGAAGGGAGGAAAGTGTGTGGTTGTCTAGGGCGAGCATGCAGCAGGAGACAGAGAAGATTGGAGGCCTGGTCTCTGGGACATCCTGACACTTCAGAGGCTCTGCAGACAAGTTGGAGTCCTTAGGTGGTACCAACGGTCAAGCATTTGGCTGCAAGGTTAGAGGTTTGAATCCATGAGAGGCTTCTCTGAAGGATGTGCTGGTGATCTCCTTCTGAAAGATCACAGCCTTTGAAAGCTGGAGCACAGTTCTTCTCTGAAACGCATCAGGGTCGCCGTGAGTCAAAATCAACTTGATGGCAACTAGGGGTGGGTGTTGGTGATGACATGCCAACAAGATGCCACAAAAGGAATCTAGATGAGGAAGAGGTCCCTGAGAGGCACAGACGGTCTGTATTTGGCTAGTAACCCAAAGGTTGCCTGTTTGAACCCACCCAGCTTTACCATGAAGATCCAGGTCTGTTGAGTGGTTTCTGTGAAAACTGTAGCCAACTTGACTCCAGAGTGTACAGAGTCTTTCCAGATGAGCACATAAACGAATCCCTCTAAAAGGAATCCAGAAGGGGAGGTAGTGAGAGCCAGCGTGTCCTTGATTTAATGCTAGCACCCTTTCTTGTGAAAATCCAGAGTGGATGATGTGTCTGCCAATAAGCCACTGGTGATATCAATGGGGGTGTGAAATCAACCTGGACACATCCCTATAGAGATCAATGGGTGTTTGGTGGCAATTGTTCATTCGATTTTCTTGCCTTCTCGTAGATTGTTAATCCCCTCCTTGAGAAGCAACTTGCTGAACAAATCAAATTATATTATGAAAGGTGTGCTGAAGTTCAAGAAATAGTGTCTGTGTATGTGTCCACAGTGCAGCAAGGCAGCAAAAGCGAACAAGCATGTAAGTATTGAGCTCCAGGCGAGCAGTTATAGCCCCATGCATTTGTATTAGTGAATGTTTTGGCTTCATTTTGAAGAGAAGAGCATAGGATATAGGACTTGGCTCTGACTTCCTAGGGGACACGTGTCACCTTCGGTCCTCCACACGTGGCTGTAAGTGAAAATGTGCATTCCACCTGGACTCTAAGCAGACTGGTCACAGCCAGGAAGACCCAAAATTGTTCTCCTGACTTCTACCCTATGCAATCTAGTTTAGAATACATTGCAGTATTCCATGCATAAGAATGCCAGGCCAGTCTAAGAAGATAAAAACAAATTAGAAAGTGAATTAATCATTACAAATGTTTCCCCATCAGTGTACTTCTGTCTTGGGCCATTAATATCTGAGTATTCATTGCTTTTAGAAATGTTGAACAATGACTTTGTTATTTGGGGTTTGGTTTTATTTTTCAAATGAAAAATAAATCCTTGAAATTGATTAATTGTGGAAGACATTGGTAATTTTCAAAAGAAGGAATGGATTTCAAATGGACTGTTTCATGCTTGCTTGTATTTGAGTGGACCTCCTTTTGCCTGTACAGGTATAAAACTTGGTCCCGTCTTTGTCTACCAGGGTTTCAGCTGGGATCTAGCTCTTGTTAGTTTCTCTGTGCTATAGAACTTCTTGTTCGATAGAGTGGCACTGGAGCTAGTCACATATGTTCCTTCTGGAAGAGAAATTCCTGTGGGACATTTGCCATGAGCAAGAGCAAATTGAGTATTTCAGTCCTGCCCACACACCTCCTCCCCATCTCCAGAGCTCAAGTTCTCATTCCCAGCCGTGGAGGGATGGCTGCATCCTGAGCACACTCCAGTCCGGTAGGGCTCCTGTGAAAAGATCCCAGATAGCGATTAGAGATGGTGATCTGTGAGTGTGGAAAGGTAGCACTTCTGCAAATCAGTTTAAGAATAGGCTACCCTGGTCCCCAGCTGCCGCTCTCACCAGTGAATCATCCAGAAAATATGATGCTGTCAGAAGAGGGGAAGATAGATAGGAATAGCAATATCCCAAACAGGAAGGAAACTGATTTGGGAACTGATGTAATAATCAGGAGAGAGACGCTGAGTCAGAAGGCCAGCCGTGCACACTGATCGCTTGGGTGCTGTTCACAAGCTTTTCCTCATGCCTTTACTGCCCTGCCTCCCTGGGGGTCCGTGTGCTTTGCTCCTCAACTCACAGTGCCAAAAGGATGGCCTAGATAGTGGCTCCTGGGACCTGGGCCGAGGCCAGCTGCTCCTTCTGCAGAATTGCTAACCACCCTCAGCAACTTTGGCATGTTTCCCTTGGACTTGGCTCTGAATTTGTGACCTCGAGGCAAAGGCATCATGGCTGATTTTAAATCCCGAAAGCATCCAAACCAACATTCAGTAACGTTAGGTCTGACCTCTATGTCTTGTTCCGCTTAGGAAGAAAGAAAGGGTTTAGAGAGGAGAGACTTTTACTCTTCTAAGGAATGGAAAAGGAGCTCTGGGGGCACAGTGCATAAGGCATTTGACTGCTAACTGGTAGGTTTGTGGTTCAAACCCACCAGCTGTGGAAGGAAGGAAGGAAGACGGGGCAATCTGCTTCTGTAGAGATTTACCGCCTTGGAAACCCAATGGGGGTCACTGTGAGTCGGAATTGACTCAGTGCCAGTGGGTTTGATTTTTTGGTTTTTAAGGAGTGGAAAGCCAGCTGCTGTTTAGTCGACCCTAACTCTTTTTTTAATTTTTATTGTGATGTGGGTGAAAGTTTACAGAGCAAATTCATTTTCCATATAGCAGCTCACATACCCTTTGTCTCATGACATTGACTGCAGTTTCCCGCAATGCAACAGCTCCCCTCTCACTTCCTCCCCATTTACCTCTTCCCTGTGTCCTTCCCTCTATGTACTCCTACCCCCACCCCCAGTTGTCTCCCTGTGCATACACAACCCTTTTATTCTCCCATGATTGATCTCTCCAAGGACTGTATCTATCTAGTCTCAGGGGTTCCACCAGGCTCTATCAGACCAGCAAACCTGGTTCTTTTTTTAAATTTATGATTTTGAGTTTTGTTCCACAATGTTCTCCCACTGTATCCAGGATGTCCTACATAGATCCCCCTCTGGGTGGTTGACAGTGGTAGCTGGGCACCATGTAGTTCTTTTGGTCTCATAGTTGTACAGGCTGAAGAGCACATGGTGTACCATTTGCTTGGACTAATTGTTTCCATGTGTCTTTGGTTTGGCTTTCTTCATTCTTCTTTGCTCTGGACAAAGACAGACCCATCATTGCATCTAGATGACCACGTGCAAGCTTTTAAGATCCCAGTCACTACTCACCAAAATAGAATGTGGAACAGTGTTTTCATGTAGTATGTTATGCCGATTGAGCTTGATGTCCCCTGCGACCATGGTCTCAAGACCATGGTCCAACTATTTGCTCCCTCTGGGTAGTTGGCTGTGGCCAAGATGTGACTACAACCTTGCCCCTTTACAAATCCACTTGTAGAAACATTTCGACCCTAACTCTTGGCACCACATGTGTGTCCCAGTAGAACTGTACTCTGTAGGATTTTCAATGGCTGATTTTTCTGGAAGCTGGTTGCCAGATCTTTCTTCTTAGGTGCCCTTGGGTGAACTTAAGTAACTAACTTCTCCATTAGCAACCACATGCATTCTCACCTTCCATGCAGGGACCTGTTGAAAAAGTAAAAGAGCTGAACAGAAGATTTCAAAGAGCAGCTCGAGTAGACAAAGCCAATTACTATAATGAAATGTG